GGCCCATTTGACATCTCCCTAGGCCGTATGTGGCCCACGATGCGAAATGAGTTTGACACCCCTGATTTATAGCATTCAAGTAAGACAAAAAAAAAAACAAAATACAAAATCATATCCAAACATTGTGCACAAAATCCAAGAATATAGGATTTATCACATATGTATCTCTGTTTTTCTGCGATAAATCCTATGGAGGCTTAAACCAAAAAAAGAAGAAGTTAACATAACAATACAGTGAGAGGATCAAAACAGATTTAGCTAATGTTTCAAACCACAGCCATCACCGAAGTTTCAGTGTTTTCCTAAAGGAAAACAGAACAGATAGCTAAAACACACTGGCTGCTGTGATCATGAAATCGGTAGCCTTTGTACGATGGATTATATTTTTAACCACTAGCTCACTACAATGACACAAAAGCTGCAATTATATGCACCAGTGAAGCTTTAAATACATTCCTTTGGTGAAAACATGTTAGATCTAGATGGATAAAGACAAATATGGTGGCTATGGTGAAACCTGAGCATAGTGCTCTAAGTGTCTGTGGGTGTGTTAACACACCAGCTTGACTTTTAAAAAGAAAGAGGGTGGAGCCAGCAGGTGAAAAGTCATGATTATTTAACACCAGTACTGTCTGTCCACACACACACCAGAGCCGGTGTCACACCTTTCAGCTCAAATCAAAGTGATAAGTACAGCCTGTTCCTTTAATATCTTCCCAGCAGGAACATGAAACATGGTAACATAACCACTGAACACTGTTGCAACTATAAGGTACTTATTTACTTTATACTTTTTATCTAGAAAATAACCAAAAAAATAAAATAAAATCTCTGAAGCAGGATATAATATTATTTCTCTGCGTTTTCAGTTTTTTTTTTTCAGTTTTCTTTACATTTTACCCTTTGTTACTTCAATTTCTCTTTCTAAGTTGACACAAGAAAACAACTGTTTTATTTCTATACTATAGATTAAAGTGCGTAAGTTGTTTGGATGGAGGTTCTTTGGTTTTGACATTGCACCTTGATCATCACAAGATACGATATAATATGCATCATGGGTGCAAGATGTTACCCCTCCACTTAGACTTAGTAAGTCTGTCAAGTGTACAGACACAGACAGCTGTCTGGAAACATGACACACACGCAAAGAAATGTGAACAGTGACACACAAATACATGCACGTAGCAAATACAATACTGACTGCAAGGTGTGTGCAGGTGATAAGGGTGACCAGGAAAAAGTGTTAGAGGGGTGGGTGTGGCCAACCTGAGAGAGAGTGAGAGAGAGAAAG